TTTTTTGTTGAGCGTTGTACGATTTTTTTTTCACCGAGTTATTCTACGTTGAAGCAAAAAGGATCATTTTTGCTTTAATGTTGAATAACTCGGTGAAAAAAAATCGTACAACGCTCAAAAAAAAAAGCAAATTAAAGGTAAAGATTCACTCTTTCGAAAGCTGTAAACTGCATTTGCATGCGAATTTTTATTCGCGCCGTGGAACTTGTCAAAAGTTCGTAAAAAATTTTGAGATTCGTCGGGTCTCCCTTTCTATCCGTGTAATTCCATGAAACATCAGTAGGATCGTTTTCTCAAGTACCGATTTGGAAAGTAGAGATTTCAAGCTGTAAAATGCTTTTTTGAACATCTCGATACGATCATTTTTGACGAAGTTACATTCTCTTGAATTTTGCCTATTTTTGGAGGGTAGAGTAAGTGATGCTTTAATTTTGTTGAGAAGTGTATAACCGAAGATAACATTACCTGAAGCATTTTCCACAATAATCGCACACGAAGTTTTCTCTGTTACACAGTATATTCTTGGGTAGTGTATTTTTTGCATGTTTGCTTTCATTCTTAAAGTGCTTAGACATTCGATGAAGTTTCATGGAGTTCGAGTGACGGAAACTGAACGAGCATACATCGCATTTGTAAGGCCGTACTCCACTATGAATACGCTTGTGCACAGTGAGATGACCGTTCCGTGTAAACTTCTTCTGGCATATATCGCACTGATACTTGCGATCCTCCACTCGCAAATGCGTCAAAATGTGATTTCTTAAATGGCTTTTGAATCTATTGACATAACAAATATCACATAGCGTCTTATCTATATAATAGGTCTGACAATGATAAATATCAATAAAAATTTGTAGATTGTTATTACGTCAATAAACTTTTTACTTAAAAATATAAATATATGTTATACGTAAGGCCGTAAGCATAATAGAGAAAATATTAGAAATAAATATAAGACTTTCAAACTGCCAGAAATCGTGTATTCCACAGATCGGAAGAGCACACGTC